TTTGTCTTTTAACCTTCATAGTGGTTTTTTAAGTGATTAACCCACTACCTTCACTGTATATCTACTTTTTCCAGTGAGATTTTTACTTTCATGTATTCTTGTTATTAATTAGTGCCATTTCTTTTCAGCTTAAAAAAGTCCCTTTAATGGGGAGCCTGGTGGCTCAGTTGGTTAAGTGACTGCCTTCGGCTCAGGTCATGATCCTGGAGTCCCAGGATCAAGTCCCACATTGGGCTCCCTGCTCAGCAGGGAGTCCGCTTCTCCCTCTGACCCTCCCCCTTCTCATGCTCTTTCACTCATTCTCTCTCTCAAATAAATAAATAAAATCTTAAAAAAAAAAAAAAGTCCCTTTAACATTTCTTACAAGGCTGCTTTAATAGTAGTAGGCCTTTAGCTTCTGTGTTCTAGAAAACTCTACCTCTCCTTCAATTCTGAATGATAACCTTGTTAGGTAGACTATTCTTGGTTGGAAGATTTTTTTCCTTTCAGCACTTTGAATATGTCCTGCCACTTTCTTCTGGCCCAGCATAATTTCTGCTGAGAAATCTGTTGATAGCCTTATGGGGTTTCCCTTGTATGTAACAATGGGAAATTGCTTTTCTCTTGCTTCCTTTAAGATTTTCTCTTTAACTTTTGACATTTTAATTATAATGTGTCTTGGTGTGGATCTCTTTGGACTCATCTTATTTTGGAATTTCTGGGTTCTTAAACCTGGATGTCTGTTTCCTTCACCAGGTTAGGAAAATTATCGGCCATTATTTCTTCAAATAAGTCTTCTGCCCCTTTCTCTCTCTCTTCTCCTTCTGGTACCCATATAATGTAAATGCTATTCCACTGGATGTTGTCCCATTGGTCTCTTAAGTTTTCTTCATTTCTTTCTGCTGCTCTGTCGGGGTGAACTCCATTGCTGATCCATTCTTCCGCTTCATTCCTCTACTGTTGAACCCCTCTAGTGTATTTTTCAGTTCAGTTATTGTATTTTTCAGCTCCATGACTACTGTTTGGTACTTTCTCATATTTTCAGACTCTTTGTTAGACTTCACACTGTGTTCGTCCCAAGTTCAGTGAGAAACTTTATGACCATGACTTTGAGTTCTGTACCAGGTAAATTACTTATCTGCATATCACTAAGGCCTTTTCTGAGGTTTTGTCTTGTTCATTCATTAGGAACATACTTCTTTGTTTCCTCAGTTTGTTTGACTGTCTGTGTTTGTTTCTGTGTATTAGGTGAAGCAACTACCTCTCTGTCTTAAGAAGTGGCCTTGTGTAGGTGATGAACATTCTTGTTTGACCTTTTCCTAGCTCTTGATTGTCTCTTGAGCCTTTGTGATTGTCTAACCCACACACTTTATTCTTGATATGTCCCTGTCTTTAAAAGTGTACCAAGAACTGTGAATATTCCAAGGGGAGGAATCTCATTTAGCACTACTTTCAGGCTGATTGAAAAACAGGCCCTCAGGCAGCAGCTTCTAAAGTATGCAAATATATACACCCCTGTGTGGCCACAATCATAATCCCTGCTGGCCTCCAGAACAGGGGCTCCAGAGGTGTCCTGTGGACAAGACTGCAAAAACTGGGGCTCCAGACAAGTATATAACCTCTTCTCTGGGAGGTGTCATCAAACTGTAGTGAGGTCAGGGTGGTGCTCAAGGATAGTGTCTCCCTGCTTACATTCCCTGGGAGTACCTCTTCAGCCTCCAGAAGTGTGGGAAATCGAAAGCCTGTCCCTCAGGCTGAAGCCCCAGGCTAAGTATATAGGCCTGTTTCAGAGGAAGACAGGTTGTGTTTCAGTCTGCTGTCTGTGAACTGCCCTAGGTGTAGCGGCCTGTCAATAACTGTTCTTTGAACTGTTGCCTTTCCAGGACGTTTAGGAACTCCAGCCCCCATGGCTACCTTGACCAGGCAATTAAAGGGTGTTCCCTATGTGGACTGCACATGCCCACTGGACAGCTAGTGCAGGGGGTGGGCATACTCACTGACTTCAGAAAGGCAGCAGGAGAATGTTTTGACAATGTGTGCCCACAAGTTTCAGAAATAGTGGGACAGTGCCTTGTCTGTGAGTGCATGCTGGCTTTTGGCTGGGTGCAAGAGAATATGGTGACCACTCATGCTCACCTGCTCCAGCCAGGGAACAGGAGAGTGCTGCAACCACCCACACTCTCTGGCTTCAGCAAGGCAATGGGATAGGGCCACGTCCATGGAGCTCATAGTCTTAGACAATAAATTGTGATCCCAGAACCCTATCCTGCTGTCCTCCAAATGGCAATGGTTTAATTTTCTTTTATTTAAAAATGTACTAAAGACCAATGGAGAAAAAGAGCAGTTCCCTCCACTATAACTGTGTCTTCCTAGATACTATTTTAGCAAACCGAAAGGGACAAATTGGCTGAAGAAAGAGAAAATTCGAAGTCTTTATCAGACCATGACAAAAACAGAGCTAAATAATTATTTCTAAGAAAATGAAATTACTTTTTATCACCACGTACTGAATGGCTTTCCCGACGGTCCCCTGTAAGTCTATAATAGCACTGAGTCACAGAACACACAACTCCTGACAATAGACTATACAACTGAAAAAATTAATCTCCTGTCAAAATAACACTTTCATAACAATGGACAATTCATGCTTGCTCTCTCCAGACCTTTGCCAAACAGAATACCAGCGCAGGTTAATTATGTGAGCTAGTTGAAAATCGTGTGCATAATGGAAATGCATCCCCCTAAAGAACAGCTAAGAAGAGGTCTCAGCATCAAATCCAAAACAACAGAAAAGAAGTGCGAGAGTAAACATGAGGGCGTAGACACAGACATTCTCATTAGCACATGGCAGCTAACCATTTTTGTTGATGCCTGTAATAAAGTTGTTAAATTCTGTTCTTGGGAAAAAAAAACCAAAAACCACTTTCCACGATTAAAGAATTCTCCCCCATGCTGACTCAAGGGCTTTGCTCCAAAGTATAGCTATGGATCATCCTTACATTGAAGATCTTTGTCACTTCGGGGAGCAAAAATAGTTCATGTCAGGGAGAACGCTGAAGGTTGTTTTCACGTGCGGAGTCTCACATCAGGCAAGGAGTCCCACCAGCTTGTCACAGGGTATGTGGAAGAAGGATCAATTTTGCCAAGTTTTATTTTTCACAGGTCATTGTGCCATGTCTGATACAGGGAACCTGCAGTAGGTTTGGGATTCGAGATCCCTGGGAAAAGTTTCTGAGAAAGACCCGTAGCCCCCACACCCAACAAACAAAACAACAGCTACCCCATGATCAAAGTAGATGTGTTGCACCATCTGTAACGTGTGAACTACTTTAAGTCCACCCCAAAGTTCAGTGAACTTATCATGCAAGGACAGACGCATTTGCAAGAGTTTCTTCTAGCCAATCTATGGTAAGCGGGGGTCCTGGCAGGAACGATATCTCACTCAATTGTGTCTTTTAAGAAGAGCTTCACAAAGGGACTTTTTCAAAAGGCCTGGGCTGGATGTAGTGGAATCCAAGTTCAACGTCAGGGGACTGTTAACAGCTTATTCCTGAGCTGAAGGGTCCAAGGAGAGAATGAAGGCAGAGGGAAGGAGAGAAAGAGATGCCGAACAAAAGTCATGACCTTCATTTAAGATGCAGCACTTTCCTTTGGTCAAGGAGGTAGTTAACCTACAGCACCACCACAAAGAAAGATCCTTTGCCTTCCCCCTCTTTCTGTTCTCCTGGTGTTCCCCTCTGGCTCAAATCCAAACAAAACTAGATGACAAAAGAGCAAGGAGGGTACTGATGAAGTCCTCGTGGGTCCACATTCCAGGGCAAGGCAAGGCACAGACTAAACTGTAGTGAAGGGAGAGAAGTAGATCAGGTGTGGCAGACGGAAGGCACACAGCACAGTGGATTTCTCTGAGAAGCATAAGCGTCCTTCATTTGGAATTTAAGGAAAAGAAAACCAAAATTTTATTAGGGCTATCCTTTTGTAATAAACTGGGCTAACATACAGGATTGGATGGTCAAAGCAGATGAACTCAAATCAGAGATCGTATGCAGTATCAGGCTTCCTTAATAATTTCAAGGAGCCAGGCAGTCAAGAGGCTCAGACAAAGCAGAGGTGCCCAGGACGTCAGGGGTGGTCACCCTGGTACTGTCTTCCTGCACTGGACATGCTTCTCTGGCCCAGAATAGCAGCTGAGGTCTCCAAGTGAGAGCCGTAGGGCTCCTTACACAGTAGGAACATTTACACTGTAAGACATTTCCCTTTTACGCCCCAAAAGTTGGATAATCTATGTGCTCCTCTCTCGGGAGACCTGCCTCACAGATCCTGGGTTACAGGTCTGAGTAGAATTCATACTAAATGCAACTCAGCTTAGTTCCTTTGAGGAAGATGACAAGTGTAAGCACAGCCCCGCCCCACAGGCACACCCTTCATCCAGCACTGTCAGACTCCGCTCTCCCAGGTAAGTCAAGGCAGTACCACTCCCATCAGACTCTTAGGCCACCAGGGGCTCTTCCATGTGTGAAGCCTGGAGCTTTTAGATCTCCCTTCCTAGTATGAAGAAGATGGTACAGGGATCTCTCTAAAATACAGGATTGGAAGTTGGTGGGGGCGGGGGAGGGGAGTGGAAGGTGAGCCACAGCTAGAACTAGGAGTAAATCTGCTACCCTTCCAGAATTATAAGCAATTCAGTACAAGTGTACATTTTTCTAGGATAGCATCAAGAATGCCTCCAGGCTCCTCAAAAAGACCAAAGGCCTATAAACGTCTAGCCAGTAAAACTACACAGAGTTTTCAGTGAATGGGGATCCGAGGACAGATAAATTGAGTCCCTACTACCAAGGTCTGACCCTGGTCTGCACTGTCCACCCCTCGTCCACCCTCCTCACCAGAGAAAGCTTCTCAGAGCCCAAGGTGAAACCTGAGCATGAACACAGTCTCATTTTCCAAAAGGTTTCAAAGTAAAATATTTCAAATGCAAAACACTTCTTTTAAAAATTAAATTAAATGTAAAAAGTAGCACTTACCTTTTTAGTTTGCTAGATAAAGTCTGAAAGCCGTCTTGCAGTCTTTTGCATGTTTCTGTCAGCTGGAGCGACTTCTCAAACAGGTATGTGCTGTTCCATGAAAGAGATTTTTAAAAAGATTGATTTAAAATGAGAGGTATAAGATAACATTAACAACATTCAGATTTAATTGATAAAGCGTGCCCAAATGAAGTCTGATTTTCATTCCATTATTGGATTTCTCCATGGACAAGGAAATTGATATTTTCACCTCTGACAGGTCTAAATTTAAAAAAAAAAAAAGTTTGCACTGTAAAGTCAAACAGGAAAGAACTCTCGAAGGAAGACTTCATATTTTCAGGTTTTCATATTTTGTTAGTATTTACAATGAACACATCACTGAACAGCTGTAATCATTCCATACGTAAGCGCTTCATTTTTAAGAGATGCTGTCTCTGGCAGGAAGCATGCAGACACAAGAGATCAATATGTCTCTCCAAAAAGAAAGCAAGGTAAGTCTGGCCCTTGATTATTATAACAGCTATGATATAAGAGCTTGTTGCTGTTGTTTCATGAACTTGGAAAACTGGAGTTGGAAAGAAACCAAATTAAAAAGCAAGTTAAGGAAATGGATCATGGAGTCGGGCAGCCTCCTAAGCCTCGAAGACACACATGGGCTTCTTCATCTCACTCCAGACATCAGCTTCCACATCTCCAGTGTGACCTCATACTGTATTGTCGTGATATATACATGATAGAGAAAACAATGTGAAGCACCTGGCCCCTTGGCTGACCCCATAAATACTCAAAACAATATCCACTGTCACTTTCCTTAGACTCCAAAAATATGCACATAATCTTGACTTAACGCTAAATGCATTTATTTAATCATCCTGAAGGTATTTGCTGAGAACCTAGTATGGGCTGGGGGTCAGGCCCAGGATGCTTAGGTAGATAAAACAGACATGGGGTCCTTTCCCTGGTGAAGCGTGCAGTCTGGTGGGGGAGAAAGCTATTCCTCAAACAAAGAACCACGCAAATGAATACAGAATGATGAACTGTGATTGGGATCATTGAAACAGCAGTGGGCGCCACAGTGGAGTGTGTAACAGGGAGACCTCTGCATCCTGAGGGGGCCTCTGAGCCAGTGCTGAGCAGGTCGGAGACCGCAAGGATAATCTGGGGGAGCTAGGTGAACTCTGGGAATTGGGGGAAGGTCCCAGGCAGAGGAAAAAGCAGGTGCAAAGGCCCCAGAAGGGGAGCAGCCCAGAGTGTCTGAGGAACTGAAAGAAGGAGTAGCAAGTAGGGGCCTGAGCACACAGGCCTGCTAAAGCATGTCGAGAATCCATCCTAATAACAAGGGGAAGCAGGAGAGTCATGTGACTTTTATGTACATTTTAAGAGCTTTGCTTTGCTGAGAAATGAAATGAAGGGAGGCAGGGCTGCTGAAAAGGTGGGCCGGTTCGGAGAGAGAGGAAGGCTGTGTGTTTTCCTAACCAGGTGATAATGGAACATGATGTGACGACACCACCCCGTCGGCAGGTGCTTTACAGAACAGGGTCTGCACCCTCTTCGGGAGACGCCCCCTGCACAGCTGGCTGGCTTTCCTGGGCAGCTGTGCTCCCTGCAATTTAGGGATCCAGACAGCTTCGGTCTCATGGCACCTTCATTCCGACAACCTGCTTCCGTACCTGCCTGGTAGGAGAAGGAAGCGCGGGAAAGCGCGACCCTCTATCTGCATGTGTCAGCCCGGCCAGAACCAGGCACAGGCCCAACCCGATTGCAAAGTGGGAGTCAGAAGCTGACAGACAGTGAGATGTGTTCTGCAGGTAAGACTCACAGGACTTCATAATAAATTGGGTACAGGAAGCGAGGGAGCAAGAGGTGTGAAGGTAAAGATAGACACAAGACAGCTTCGTAATTAGTTCTCCGATATTTCTCAGAAACGCTTTCTGAAAACACTGTCCACGGAGCACCTACAGGCTCACAAAAATCCCTCTTTATCCTGATCGGATTGTTCTCCTCCCTCCCCACCATCTCCTTCCTCCTTCTCCCTCCTCTGCCTTCAGGCCTGACCTTCTGTGTATTCTGAATATATTATTGCACCTTCCAAGGATTTGTTTATTTCTAATTTGCTGTGTATTTTATTCAGGCAGCACCGTTAATAAAGTGAATTACCAAGCCAACAGTGCTTTGAATTATGATGGCTTTGCAATACTGAATTGTGCAACTGGGGCAAGCAGGCACCAATAGGATTTAGTACCCCACAACTTTCCTGAAATTGAAGAGTATCTTTGTTAATAAAAAGTCAGAACCATTTTGCCCAACTGAAATCACAGAAGAGACACAGAAAGCAAACGAGAGTATCTGGTGTAAAGTGAAGATGAGAGCCTGAAGTCATGGGGAAAAACAGGGTCTGAGGTTTCAGCAGGGCCAACCTTTAGAGTTTCCTTTTTAAAAATCTTTACTTGATAAAGTAGTTATAGGGATGCTATAGATTGAATGTTTATGCACCCATAGAAGTCGTATGTTGAAATTCTGACCTCCAAGGTGATGGCATGAGAAGGTGGGATGCTTGGGAGGTAATGAAGACATGACCAGGGGGAGGGGGGGAGGGAGGTTCATGAATGAAATTAGTGCCTTATAAAATCGGCCTGAGAGTCCCCATCCCCTTCTGCTGTGTGAGGTTACAGCAAGAGAGGGCCTTCTCTGAGGAAGTGGGCCCATACCAGATCTGAAGGTACCATGATCTTGGACTCCCAGCCTCCAGAACAGAGAAATGCACTTTTGGTTGTTTATAAACCACTTGATCTATGGTATTCTGTTCCAGCAGGCTGAACGGACTAAGACAAGGGGATACACAGGATGTGTACAAAAACACTTAGCACACAGAAGTCACCAAACCCATGTTAGGTTTTTATTCTCCTGATGCGTCATAGTATTCCTTCCTCAAACCAGTCATGGTCATTAACACAGGGGTCAAAAACTTGTCCCACCCCTAGAAGCTACTTCACCGTGAAAGGGACAGAAAGAGAAGCCCCTTGGCTTCTCTTTGCTTTCTGTTTCTCTCCCGTCTCCTTTCATTCCGAGTCTTCATACTTTTCTTCCTTTTTTCTAATGTCCTTAAAACCTGCCAAGGAAAATAGTAAGATACTCACACGCAGAATCCGTAAACTTCAGACGTTTTTCTACATTAGGCATCTGATCAATATAGACCCTTTCACTGCCCTCCAGAGAAGTCTCTCCATTCATGCTGTTTTCAACTATGCTTGTTATTCAAAGTGACAAAAGTACATCTTAACAATGTAATTGCTATGTTTTTTTAATAAGTCTTTTTCTTTTTACATTATTTATTTATTTGTGAGAGAGAGAGAGAGCACAAGCAGGGGGAGTGGCAGACAGAGGCAGAGGGAGAAGCAGGCTCCCCACTGAGCAGGGAGCCCGATGCAGGACTTGATCCACCCTGGGATCATGACCTGAGCCGAAGGCAGACGCTTAACTGACTGAGCCACCCAGGCGCCCCTGTAACAGGCATGTTTTATTTTTTTTTTTTTTAAGATTTTATTTATTTATTTGAGAGAGAGAGACTGAGAGAGAGAGCACATGAGAGGAGGGAGGGTCAGGAGGGTCAGAGGGAGAAGCAGACTCCCTGCCAAGCAGGGAGCCCGATGCGGGACTCGATCCAGGGACTCCAGGATCATGACCTGAGCCGAAGGCAGTCGCTTAACCAACTGAGCCACCCAGGCGCCCCAACAGCCATGTTTTAAAATGCTTGAATACCTGAGACTCTGAGAGACACCAGGAGTCCTGGGAGACACAGAGAGCATTAGGCCTTGGGGGGAGAAGGTGAGATGGCTTGGTTAGGTTAGCTTGTCAGACCTCTCTGCTGTGCAAGTAAGTGAGAATTAGATGTTGCTTGGATCGGAGCGCTCTTAGAGGACCACGAAGGAGTTACTTGCTCTTGGAAGAGAAAAAGAAGAAACCCTGTCAGTTCTGATTTGAGAGAAGACATGATCCATGGACAGATCCTATTTGAGAATCTGGCACCCACCGCCAATGAAGATGTTCGAGTCCTCCCTAACTTCTGATTTGGGGACATCTCCCAGACAGGTCAAAAGAGAGAAAGTAGGAAATAATGAAGGTGCAAGTAGGAATTCTAAAGACCCAGAGTTAGAGGCAAGCTGGTGGAACAAGAGATTGCCACCAGGCAAGCGTGGGCTGATTTGTAACCCAGAAAGGATTCTTGGGGATCGGTTGCAATGGCTCATCAGAAAGGACCAGGGGGCAGGGAGAACTTGAAATGGTAAAAGCAGCTACAGAGGTGTCTCACGGTCAGATGGAAGTCCACGATATCAATGGGGACCCCCCTAAAACTAACTCAAGTTGGTGGTCTGAACAGTTGGGTCTATGGAGAGAAAAAGCACAGGACTCAGAAGGGCTGCCAGATATGCTCTAATAACCAAATATTGCAGGACCAGACTTTCTTGGGCTTAAAATAAGAATTCTGTTTCTGTCAACTGAGACTTTTTTTTTTTTTAATGTTTTATTTATTTATTCATGAGAGTCAGAGAGAGAGAGGCAGAGGCAGAGGGAGAAGCAGGCTCCCCGCCGAGCAGGGAGCCCGATGCGGGACTCGATCCCAGGACCCTAGGATCATGACCTGAGCCGAAGGCAGACGCTTAACCCATCTGAGCCACCCAGGCGCCCCAACTGAGACTTTCTTTTTAATTTTCATTTCAATTTTCTAGTGAAGGCCCTTCTGAAATACTTTTACCAGAATTAGGTAAAGAAAAGGATCGGGTGACATACGATCAACCAAGCTACACAACTGAGGATGCCCTCAAGACGAGTCATGGAAGAGACAGTGGCCATCCTCTTGGAGATGCACAAGACCTTGGACCAACATAGAACTTGAAGCGTCCCAGACCAGAATGCAGAGATGGCTCTAACTACCCAGCGGATGCCTCTTTAATCACCCCATTATAAGAGCACGACCTCTGCTCATGGGTCGCTGTTTAAGACTGCCCACCTGCTCATGTGTGACGTTCATGGCATCTTCAGAGTGCTCCCAATTCCCTGCTCCCTTTGCAAAGCTGCAGTAATGGAGAAAG